GATGATAAATTAAGATCTCTACACAATTCAATGACAAGAAGTCATTAGTGGTTTAGCCCTGATGGTCCCTTTTCTCTAATGACAAATTGATAAATAAATTAGTGTTCTTCTTTATGTAATCATCTCTGAGTTTGTTTAATGTGATTAGTTCTTCCCAGTCCCATGAATATGAAAGAATAGATGTGATCAAATTTTCCCAGCATAGAGTAAGAATTCTTTTGAGAAAGTTCTATTGAAAAGAATAGCCCTCTATCCTCCTAAAAATTGGCTGCAAGCAGTAATAAGCACTGCTATTTATTGTTGCCTACTTGTTCCATATATTTAACATACATTACCTTTTTAAATTCTCAATAATCTTCCAATACGGGTGTTATTTCATCCATCAGGAATCTTTTAGTTGGTAGTACAGAGATACATTACAAATTAGGGAGATTTTATTAGTTCACTTAATTGAAAAATCTAGAGGGAAGTCACTGTTCAGGCATTGTTTGATCCAGTGGCTCAAATATGTCACCAAAAACTATTCTCTTACCTTAACTTTTTTCTGGTTTTCATGATGATTGCTTCACCCACCCCTAGTCTGCCAGTCGCCATGGTACTACATGCTCTTATATGCTTCCAGTTTTATTCCCAGCCCACCCCCAACCCTTAAGCATTTCCTTGTATCTCAGTGGCCCAAATTAAGCCATGTGTCTGTCCCTGAACCAGTCACTTGGGCAAGGGAATGGGCTTCATGGATTGGGTGAAGCCACTCTAGGACCATCTTTAATGTTGAGGGTGAGGTGAATACTTTCCAAAATGGGAGAAGGGCAGGAAAGTGAGGTAAGGGAAAACACATATATGACAAACAACCAGTCCCTACTACATCTCTTTCTTTCTTGAGATATAAAATAGCTTGAGCAAAAATAAGAAGTTGTAGTAGTATAATATGGTGTTCTAGGCATGGGCTTCATGTTTTAGATACATTTTAGTCTTCAAAACCATCTTGAGAAATAAGTGCACTTAATCCTTGTTTTAAAGAAGCTTAGAAAAACAACTTCCCCAAGGCCTCCTAGTTAATCAGACCTAGGTCAGTCTGACTTCAATATCCAGGTTCTTTTCATGATGTCATGCTCTCTCCCCAGTAACCCAAAAGTTGGCTATAAAAACATATTAAGTATTGTCTTAGAATTTATCACTGGTGGAAAATTTTAGAAAATAATCCATCCTATCTTCATTTAATGTGCAATATACCTACATAGAAATAATCCTTTTACGACAGATTTACAAAGGGGCGTTAATATCTTGTTTTGCCTGCTTTGAACACCAAGATCCTTATTGCAGTGGTCAGGTATGGTACTCTATGCTCTATGCATATATGCAAACACACGTACATATACATCTACATATATATACATGCATACACATATAAATATCTGTACCACATACATGATTATTACATATATCACAAATTCTAAGAGAGGTTCTTTAACTTGGCCCTTAATGAAAATTATAGGAGAATGAATTCAAAGAAACAGACACTATCTTCTACAGTAACTGACAGTGAATACTGAAAATTCTATCATCTGATGTCACCCTCTAGTTCTTCTTCACTTAACGGTAGTCATCAAGTATTGTGCCTAAGGGAACATTTCTGGCTCTGTCTGAATTATTTCCTGGGTATCCTACCTTTAATCTCATACTCTATCCCCTGGGGAGTTGACTTCTTGCTTCAGGGTTCTTAATGCTAACACTTGCCCAAGGCTCAGGCTTTCAGTGCTGAATCACAATTACTTAATTTTTATTGAAGGCTTGGCTTCTGTGCAGTGACCTGCAAGAAGCTGACGAGGGCTGCGGAATGGTGGTTTTCCTTCTTTACTTAAGATCATTCTGTGTCTTGAATAACTAGAAACTGGAAATAAATTTAAAATTTACTTTAATGATTTAATGATTTTAGGCAAGACATTTCTCTAAGGCAGAAAGAAATATTGCTGGATTAACTAAGAGGCAATCAGACAGTCCTTTGTCTGTATCTTTGGCTGTGTCACAGCATTGGGAAAGAGCTGTATGTCACTGTGCTTTCTAGTACTTTACCTTTATTGACTTGGCATCACTTTTCAGGCAACTTGGAATGCTATTTAAGTGTTGTCATTTCTTTATTATATAATGCATTTATTGTTTTACAGTTTTATGTACCAAGGACTGATTGTCTTTTTGCAAATCATTTTTTTTAAATGATGCAATTTTTAAGGCATTAGTGTTATGAAGTGTCTATCAAGATGAGCTCAGTCTTAAAGCACTAAGTTTTATTGTTGGAATTTAAAGAATTTTACAGCATCCATCCGGTGCCATTGATAAAAAATGTGGTATTATCCCTTTCTAAACATTATTTTAACATTTAACAAGTACTTAAAAAGTACAGTTCTCACCATTGGAGAGGTAGTACTATAGAAGAAATGTTAAAATTAATGAAAAAAGATTGTCTTCCTGGGAAGCCTAGAAGCTGCAAGAAGGGATACGTACACATTGTTTACTTGTTCATTCAAGAAATGTTTATTGAGGTATTATTACATGCCAGACATGATGTGGTAGGCTCTGAAATTATAATATTGGGCAACAGAGGCACAATTCTCTTCACAGGATTTACAGTTTGAGGCAGGGGTTAGTGGGTAAAGGAGGTTCACTGAAGGGGTAGATTTTAAAAGAACAGGAGGCAGATGGAAAAGTGCTGAATATGAGCGAACTTTGGAAAGAAATAGTAGGATTCCACAGAATACTGGGGTTATGTCATATGCTGCTTTAAATCACGTTCCAGAAAAGCTCTTTTCATTGGGAAGCTATTCCAAAGCTTAAACAAAATGCTATATGGTTTCAAGAGCAGAAGTCTGCACTTTTTCTAAAATAGGCCAACATACATCTAACAAAAGAATTAATATATGTAAATATTGGTCCAAGTAATAACTTGAGCTAAAAATTGATTTCACATCCACTTAATTGGTATACCTATTAAAGTTGAGAAATTAGTGCTTAATTTTGATGTCTACTGTTGCTTTCTGTTGCTCAAAAAATTAAGTTAAGCTTGATAGAGACTATTTCAATAATCTTCCTAGTAATTTAATACATTTGATATTCTCTTTAGAAGAACAGAACAAACTAAATTATCTGACACTGTTAAGATTATTTTTAAGCATATAGCTATTGATTTTGTAAAGGGCCCACCTAAATTTGTGTAACACTTGATGTGTGAATAAAAGAAGTTAGAGAAACACAGCATACATTATAAGTAGAGTTAGGCAAGTGTTTATTTTCCAGGTACTCTCATTAAAGAAAAAGCCATTAAGTCTTCACCTCTAGAGTTTTTCTATTTAAGGAAGCCTGGATCCCTGGTGAAGAGGATTAAAAAGTTTAGGAAATGGCAATTAAAATGCTAATCCCTCTTGCAAAATTCTGGTTTAAAATCTGAGCCTAATAGAAAGAGAAAGTGGAAATTATTGTTTTTAGAGAAATTTCTTTCTAATATATTTAACTTTTAAAAATGCAATACACTATACATTAACAAGGAAGGATAATCAGGCCTTCATATAATCTTTAATGCCATATGAAGAATGAATACACAGTTTAAGGATCACTGGCGATAGGTGGCTCTTGAGCTTTTGAAATGTGGCTATTGCTTCTAAAAATACTGAATTTTGAATTTAGTTTAATTCTAATCCCCTTAAAATGGGGAGGATTCAGTTAGAAAAATTTAAAAATGTTTGAAATATTTGAGATGTCCCATGAAATGTGAAATAAACAACATATTTTAAAGACTTAGGATGATAAAATATAAAATAAAAACTATAGTTTTTTAATGATATATATTGATATAGTATATTTTGGGTTTATTGGACTAAAGAAAAAATACATTATTAAAATGGATTTCACTGTTTGGTTGTTAGTGTTACCTTTCTAAATGTAGCTACCAGAAAATTGAAAATTACTGTGTGTTATATTTCTCTTTTTTTCAAAACTTTTTTTAAAGTTTATTTATTTATTTTGAGAGAGCATGAGCAGGGGAAGGGCAGAGAGAGAGAGGGAAAGAGAGAATCCCAAGCAGGCTCTACACTGTCAGTGCAGACCCCAACGCAGGGCTCAGACTCAGGAACCGAACCGTGAGGTCATGACTTGAGCTAAAACCAAGAGTTGGACATTTAACTGAGCCACCCGGGCTCCCTTGCGTGTTTTTTTTCTTTTGGATCATGCTGGTTTATTTTTTTATTTTATTTTTTTTAATTTTTTTTTCAACGTTTTTATTTATTTTTTTGGGACAGAGAGAGAGCATGAACGGGGGAGGGGCAGAGAGAGAGGGAGACACAGAATCGGAAACAGGCTCCAGGCTCTAAGCCATCAGCCCAGAGCCTGACGCGGGGCTCGAACTCAAGGACCGCGAGATCGTGACCTGGCTGAAGTCGGACGCTTAACCGACTGCGCCATCCAGGCGCCCCCGGATCATGCTGGTTTAAAGAGTTGCTCGAAGACATTGTTGAAATCCATCTGATGCGCAAACTACAATCTGGCTCAGCAGTTCAATCATCAAAATCATTGCCCCCCTCCCCCTCTACCATCAGTGACTTCATAATCATAAGGAGTCAGTGAATCTGATAACTAATTTGGTATCATTTACATTTTAAACTGCTAATAATTACAATCTTTTATTTGGTATCAGAGGAAACAAAATTTCACAGAAAATTTTACCCGGGCAAATTGGTGAGAAATGGCAACAGCGAAATTGTATGATTTTGTTTGAATATTATTGCATGCTGGATTACAAACAGTGTGAAGCATTTAAAGGGCTTAAACTGTATGTAGGAAAGTTTATGATACCTGATAGATGTGCTCTTTTCATACTTTGTTTTATGCTCATGTCAAACAAAATGGGTAAAAAGCATGGCCAGATGTGTAAAGCTTTTTGTTCTGCTGGGTATCTCTCGTAAGCAGTACCTCATGATTTTATCTCATTGTTCATCTCTAAATTCTTCTAGGAGGTGATTTCCTCTCCTTTCTGAGAAAGAAGAAGGATGAACTAAAACTCAAGCAGTTAGTGAAATTTTCATTAGATGCTGTTTCTGGTATGTCCTATCTCGAGAGTAAAAACTGTATACACAGGTAAGGAGAATATTTTTTTAAACATTTTCCAGTTTTATAAATGGAACGCTAGAAAAGTGACATTACAGCAATGCAGTACAGCATGAAGTTCTTTCACAAAACTTACATATTTTCTTGTTGATTTTCATATTTTGTGGGTTTTCATATTTTGTGTGAAAGCCTTCTTTGATAGTTGTTGATATAATTTACAGAAATACTTACCTGAGGTAAGTACACCTAATTAGACAATGAGTTACTTACTGATTAAAATCTGTTATATTATAATCATGAATGAACTAGTGATAAGATGTGCCACAAGTTAGTCACATAATCACCTACAGTCTTAGAGCCAAATAAGATTGTTTCCTGTGCTCCCTATTCTCATTTTGCAAAGAAATTACTCATAAATTATAGCCGTGGAAGAGCATAATAGTAAAACAACAATTCATAAGAGTGAATTTGGCCAAGGGTAGAAGATATTAGCATAATAGTTATTTCAAAGTAGATTTTAGAAAACTTTACCTAATTACATTAAGAGCAGTGACTTGGTTTTAATGCTTTTATAGATCGTGGTTTTAGTTGCTTGTAGCCGAAAATGTTCTTTACTGCTACATGTCAATACAACTTAACATCTCTTGGAGAATTCATGTCAGATCCTAAGTACGGCTAAGTCTATTTAAGCAAAATAAAGTGGGGCATTGATGTGGTTTTTATTCACTGGAAGCAGCACATCATACTGTTGAACATGGAACAGAGTTCATTGTCAGATTGAACTAGTGTGGACTTTCTCTAAATTGGTTCAATTATTGAACTATATTTTTCTCTGATGTGTTTCATTATGCAGGCTTTGCTTAATGTTCTGAAGTTGTATAATGTATAATTATAGCAGACCAAAGGTACCTTCACCTAAAATTTATATTTATTTGATCTCACTGTGTCAGTGGCATGACCCATCTGCTCCCCACCCTTACCCCCACCCCCTGCTTCAGTTTGTGAGTTTGGCCTAGAATTCATAGCCAGACTCTCAAGTAAGCAAGGGTTTAATAGCAATTAAAGCAAAAGTACACTCTAAAGGTAGGAGAGTGGGCAGGCCCAGAGGTGGCAGCTGCACCAGGGGTCAAGGTTGTCTTTCCTTTTTATGTTTGCAAGCTATAGGGGTCATAGCGAGGGTGGTCTCTGATGGCATTGCCTCCTATCATCTAAGGGTCTCCTCCTACAGATTGGGAGGGGATGTCTTTGGTTTTACATGATCCTTATATGAACTGTCATGGAAGCATCCCTCTGAAAGGAGGGGGGTCAAAACCACAATGTAAATGTATTATCATGAAGCTATAGGTTACTGTAGGGCAACAGCTATAGGGAAGATATGTGTTTCCCCTCCCCGCCCCCCGGTGGGGGGGTTCCTGGCTGTTTGAAACTTGGTTTTGGCCCTTCTGAACAATCAGAAAACTACCTGCTCTCTCCCTGCTTGTGTCTAGCTAACTGCCTACTCTATCAAACTGATTAGTTAATTTTTTCAAAAAATTCTCCTATATACCCAATTTTATTCTAAAACTAAAATTATGGCTTATGTTTCCAATATAGTTCAACAATTGCATACATTTTAAAACACATTTCAGTAGAGATATTATATATCTGGAAATTAAGACAACTAAAACTAAGCCACTGTCCTTGTATTTCTAGGACTATAGATCAAATCACATTATAATAGGTATTTTTAAATATTTTTAAAAAGCATTTGATTTTGGACAAGAATTGCATTATCATTAATTTCATTGGAAGAAGAAAATGTTTTTTGTTGAAAGTAGCAAGGATTTTCTTCTTCATTTAGAGAAAGTCTTATTTTGGTTGCTCAGGTGTTAAAGCTACTTCAGGTATCAAATTCTCGACCGTAGTTACTCATTTTGTCTCAGATTTTTTTCAAGCCATTAGACTATAGCTTTAAATTCTAATGAATAAACAGTACTGAAACTGCTTAATTGTCAGTTAGTTACCAGTAGCAGTCTTCAATTTCTGGTGCATTGTGGTTGAGGGAACTGTTGTTTTAATTTCTTGCTACTTTTGTAGTGATTGCTTTTCTTGAAAATGGATGACTGTATTTTTT